CGGAGTGAACTGGACAGCGGCGAGATCGTCAGTCAGCTCTTTGGCCTTCTTTTCCGCAATTTCCAGCTCCTTGTAGACTTTGGAAGTCACAACCTCAGACAGTGTTACCATTGTCTGGAAAAGACTAACCTTCATACGTGTAAATTCTACATGTATAGCAGGATCCAGAAAGTATGGCTTCTTTCCAGTTCGTAACAGGGACACTCCTCGGGACGAGGATGGGAAGAAGAGCGACATCTTCGTGTGCGACAAGGCTGCCTACCAGATGCTCAACGATGCTCATCTCCGAGGAACGGAGCTGGGTGATTGGGTGGCCAAGCGTCTCTGCCTCGGTGCCTTGTTCATGCACCACAACTACGACCAGGTACCGGGCTGGATGGTGATCACATTGTTTGGGCGACCCAAGGCAATGCTGCCAACCCGAAGCAAGACAGTGACTTTCAATGAAGAAGGTTTCTCCTTGATCGATAGTATTGATTCTTCTTCTTTGTCCTCGCAGGTTATTCCGGAATGGCTCAAGCTCCATGGCCAGCAGGATGATGCTGAATGTGTGGAGTCGGCTCAGCCGCTTGCAGAAGCAGCCACTGAGTTCGACGTAGACGCTTGCTGCTTCAGGTTTTTTTTCATGTGTGGCAGCACCAAGTTTGTAGAGCTGCTCAGGAAAGACTTCGTGTGTTTACAGCAGCTGTTTGTGGAGCACCGGGCAGTGGACAAGCCTCGTGACGTTCCTTTCAGGGTGTGGCACGTAACAAGCCTCAACTCGAGGAAGAATGCCTCAATGAGTCACAGCAGGAGTTCTCGTATCAGAAGGAAGGCTGGGCGTGCCTGAGGGAGACACCATGCCTGCGATGAGATGAAAGAAATTGAGCTCTACTTAAAGAGCTCTCACGTTCGTCGTGATGTTTAGAAAGTTTCTGCGGAAGCTCATATTAACATGACTTAGAAAGAGCCTGAGGGGGAATGGAATCCCAATTCAAGATACTGCTCTTACCTAATATATATTTATAATGAAAATGGTTCCCTTCCTCTAGAACACTACTAAGCACTTCCATTCCACAAGCCTCAGCTTTATTCTATGAATATTTTTTTTAAAATTATTTATTAATCTTATATTTATTAAAGAGTTTAAAATGTGGAACAAAAGAATTATACAGGTGTAAATGATGGAATATGGAAGGAATACAACTGTGAGTGCATGAAATATAAAAAAGGAATACAGAAATGTGCATATTAATTAGCCCAAAAACCTTAATTTATATACAATAGCAAATGGTTTATCTAATTTGAATTAGTTTTAAAGGAATAAGGATAGAATCAAATGGTAAAACAAAGTTTAATGTGTAATTACCAAGTCATATATTTATTCGCAATTGAAACTTTTAAAATAGATTCTATAGGCTATTCATTCTTATAGATGTAAAAATAACTTATGCTGTGACACGGGAGTTGTCCCAAACCCCATGGGACAATTAGTAATGTTTGATGAAAGTCACCCTTAAAATAATAACAATGCCATGGAATGGAGATATATTTTTCTAGCTCAGTTGCCAGAGGCCGACTCAGTCATAACGTAGAACATTGTCTTTGTACATGTCTGTATATCATAAAGTAGAACGTTCTCTCTGTATTATATATTCTCCAAGTAATGATGCTTGTAGCACTTAAACATATCAAGTATGGAGTCCACGGCAAGAGCAAGCAGTGTAACAAATCCATTGTTAGCCTTCACTCTAAATGTGACACGAAAGAAGTACCTGTCTCAAAGGTGACATGATTTGAACTTCTGTGGAAAATAGACCACATGCCATCAGTCTAAGGGTATAGTTCAAGAAGACCAGCAGGATATCAGATCGACATCAATAATCTCTGATTGGTCCAAGTAACCACTCCAAAACTTGATTTTGTTGCCCCTGTCTCTAATTACATCAGGTAGCAGTTAAATATATCTAAAATATATGTGGCAGTAGAACTTACAACCAGTAAGGATTCGAGCGTCATAGTTTCAGCAACAATTGTGATATACCAAAGATGACTACTAACTTCATTGATGATATTTTGATCCACTCAGAGGGGATATAGAAGGAACACGTTTGTGATGTTCGTAAGGTGTTGGATCAGGTACGAGAAGTTAGTTTAAAGCTGAAGTAGTTGAAGTGCGTGTTTAAGTCCAAAGACACAACTTATTTTGGGTATTGTATTTCTCATGAGGGTTTGCAAGTTGATCTTGACAAACTTGTGGCTATTCTAAAGTGCCTTACTCCAAAGTGTGTGAATCATGTGCAATACTTCCTGAGAAAGGTCCAGTATCTCGCTCTTTTTGTTGATCATCTTTCTAATCACACTGCACTATTGCAAGCATTGTTAAAGTCGTCAATGTCATCTTTCATTTAGTCTGTAGACTGTGAGCAAGCAAATATGGATCTAAAAGAGCTGTTGATAACTCCTCCAGTTTTGGCATATCCTAACTACACTTGACCTTCCATTTTACACGTGGATGCTTCTGATATCGGTCTTAGAGGTGTATTGATGCAAAAAAGCTTGAGTGTGTTTGGTTAGCGCTATCCCATTGGATATATCAATCACATTTATATGGTTTTTAAACATTACTAGAAGGTGATCATGCTGTAATTACTTCATTATTGAAACGGAAAAACTTGGTTAGTTGTATTACTTAGTGGGCTTTAAAGCTTCAAATATATAATTTTAATGTTGTTCATCACCCGGGGGGGTTTATGGCTAATGCTGATGCCCTTTCTTGAGCTCTTCTTCTTTTTTCGCTCTCTTTTCATATTTCTAACAAACATGTTATTCCAAAATTTGTGAATTTTTTGGATGAGGATTCTGTGCCGTTGGTGGTTGTTGTATTTGATATTCATGGTTTACAAGATGTAGAGCAAAATTTACCTTCTCTTAATGAGGTTTATAAGGCCCAAAAGATTGAGCTGTAAATTTTAAAGCTTTGCAATGGGTTTGAGAATTTTGTATCACTTGCTGATGATTTGCCATTTCAATATTTACATTTTTAATATTTCCTTGATGATAATCTTCTTTATTTTGTGAGAACAGATCCTGGTGATTACTTATGGCTAGTGATGCTTTCAATCTTTATTCCACACTTTTTCCATTCCTACCATAATTCTCCTAATTCTCCTATGGGACATCGTCGTATGACTGAGAAGTTGCATAGGCCTTTCTATTGGCCAGAGATGCAATATAATATTATTTGATATATGCATAGTTACATTTAGTACCAAACTCATTATACTCCCCCTCATGCTACAAAAGGACGGTTGGAGTCAATTGCAATTTTCTATCCATTTGAGTTAGTGGTGTTTGATTTGATAAGACTTTTTCTATGATTGACTATTGATAATGAATATGTCATTATTGCTTCTGACTACTTAACTTATTGAGTGGAAGTAGGTGCTCTTCCTAGCGCATTTATAACTGTTGTTGGGTATTTCCTCCTTAATCGAGTAGTGTTCCAACATTCCTATCTTGAGCGGATTATTTTGGATAATAGTCCCATATTTATGATTGAGGCATTTTATGTTTTGAAGTTTTAATTGGGGATATGCCACACTTTTATGAATGTTTATCATCCATAATTAGATGGTTTGATAGAACAGCTTGTTCATACCTTCAAAGGGATGATCATAAAGTATGTAAACTTTTAGCATTTAGATTGGGATGGATATTTGCCATATTTTCGGTATCTGTATGTTATAGGGCTATAGAGTTGTATTAGTGCTTCACCATATAAACTTTTATATAGTCATAATTCAATATTGCTAACAAAGTTAGGTTTACCTTTGCAATTGTTACAAACTGCTAATGCTAGGTTGTGGGATCAATATTTGACAAGCATTCATCCACTTGTCCAAGTAGAATTTACCGAACACCTGGGCCATGTACAAGTGGGATAACAACATTATAACTCCCATCATTGTTCACTTGCGGAGTATAAAGTAGATGACTTAGTGTTAATCTGTTTTCTCCATCTTATGGTACATGGATTATCTAAAGGGCTCCTTGCTTAGTAGAAATATCCATATCGAGTGTTGTGGCATGTTGTACTACAAGTTTATAAGGTTTAGCATGATATTTAACAAGCCAATCCTTCAGAAATTGTGCATGTGCAGTGGCTAAAATACTTCATACAAAAAGATTAGGAATAATTAGCACCATCTACAAATCCACTAATGCCTCCTCCTGATGTTCCTCTAGACCCTGGCCTATCCATGAAAGAACCTTGATTGTGTTTTATTATTTTGAGACGAAAGAATGATATAAGGTCCAAATGTATGGCAATGATGCTATATATTAATATTAGCATAGTGGGATTTTGGTAGCTATTGAATTGGTTTCAATCTAGACTACTCACTCCTATATATAAGCTAGGGTTTTTGGGTTCATTAATATGCACATATCTTGTATTCTCTTTCTATATTCCATGCACTCATAAAATTTTATTAATTTGATATACATACTTCTTAGTGGAAGAAGATCTAATAAAAAAAATATTCAAAAAAATATTTACATCTTTAAATATTTACTAGATATTAAA